TCTCATCATCACATGTATATTCTGTTATTTTTGGGTGGAGACTTCTGTAAAGGTCTATCAGATCCATTTGGTCCAATGCTGAGTTTAGGTCTGAATATCTTTGTTAATTTTCTGTCTCAATGATCTGTCTAATACTGTCAGTGGAATGTTGAAGTCTCCTGCTATTATTGTGTTGGGAGTCTATGTCTCTCTGTAGGTCTCTAAGAAATTGCTTTATGAATCTGAGTGCTCCTGTGTTGGGGGCATATATATTTAGGGTAGTTAGGTCTTCCTGTTGGATGAACCTTTTACTATTAAGTAATGCCCTTCCTTGTCTTTTGTTTGTTTGTTTGTTTGTTTAATCTTTTTCTCTATCTTTCTTTAACATCCTTCCTTTCATTTTGACCTTGGAAAATCTGACAGTTATGTGTCTTCAGGATGATTTTCTTGTGTAGAATCTTGCAGGAGTTCTCTGTATTTCCTGAATTTGACTGTTGGCCTCTCTAGCAAGGTTGGGGAAGTTTTCATGGACAATATTCTGAAATGTATTTTCTAGGTTGTTTGCTTTTTTCCCCTCTCTTTCAGGGATGCTAGTGATTTGTGGATCTGGCTTCTTTATATAATCTCATACTTCTCAGAGGTTTTGTTCATTCCTTTTTATTCTTTTTTCTTTATTTTTGCCTGACAGTGTTATTTCAGAGAGCCAGTCTTCAAGTTCTGAAATTCTTTCCTCACCTTGGTTTATTCTGCTGTTAATATTTGTGATTGCATTGTGAAATTCTTGTAATGTGTTATTCAGCTCTGTCAGACCATTTAGGTTCTTTTTAATATCAGCTATTTTATCCTTCAGCTCCTGTATCACTTTATTGTGATTCTTATTTTCCTTGAATTGGGTTTTGCCATCTTCCTGAATCTCGATGATCTTTGCTCCTATCCATATTTTGAACTCTATTTATGTCATTCCAGCCAGGTCAGCCTCCTTAAAAACTCTTGTTGGAGAACAGGTGCAGTTGTTTGGAGGACATATGACATTCTGGCCATTTGAGTTACTGGAGTTCTTGCATTGGTTCTTTCTCATCTCTGCCTGTGGGTGTTTCTTTGACTACAGTGTAGATTGAGTACAGTCAATAGACTTCTTTTATGGTTTCACTGAGCCAAGGCTTTGTGTATGGTCCGATATGGTTTGGCTGTGTCCCTACCCAAATCTCAACTTGAATTGTGTCTCCCAGAATTCCCACATGTTGTGGGAGGGACCAAGGGGAAGGTAATTGAATCATGGAGGCCAGTCTTTCCTGTGCTATTCTTGTGATACTGAATAAATCTCATGAGATCTGATGGGTTTATCAGGGATTTCCACTTTTGCTTTTTCTTCATTTTCTCTTGCTGCCGCCATGTAAGAAGTGCCCTTCACCTTTCACCATGATTCTGAGGCCGCCTCAACTATGTGGAACTGTAAGTCCAATTAAACCTCTTTTTCTTCCCATTCTTGGGTATGTCTTTATCAGCAGCATGAAAACAGACTAATATACAATCTTTATTTGAAGATGACTTCTTATGTCTGGTTTCAGAGTGGGGTATGTTATTGAGTTATTTTTGGTGTTGAAGCTTTGGGATATGATCCAGCAGCTGGCACTTATTGGTCAGTTCTTGCTCAGTTGTGTGGCTCCCCTACATTTCCTCACAGTTGCAGCCGTGTTCCCTCTCAGTGCTCTGAAAGTATGGGTTCCTCTGCCTGTTAAGCATGTAGTTCATGACTTGGTCCTCCTGAGCTGCCCACTACAGCTCTGGGATGATCTCAGTGTTTATGTTCCTGCTAGAGGCAGCAGAGGAAGAGATCTTAGTAGTGGTTGTGGCCAAGTGTCATTTGCTTGACTCCTAGGGTCTCCTCCCCAGAGAGATCCAGGTCAGCAATCACTCAGTACAGTCAGCCCAAGATGGAGGCTGTGGGCCTAAGCCAGGGGTTCCTTGTCTGGTGATGAGCCATAGGGAGTGTGTAGGACATGTGGGAGATGGACTGGCCTCCTTTCTTTGGGTTGACTGCAGGTTGTTGGAGGTTTGGATAAGGAACTTAGGGTCTTTGCTCCTTTGTTAGTCTGAGGGTGGCAAGGACAGTTCCACTGCAGAGGCAGTGGCAGAGAGACTCAGTTGCCCCTGAAGGCTCTAGGAAGTTTCTGAGCAGGTAATGGCTCACTAACTCTGGTGGTAGGTGGCTGGAGACCCAGGTGTGGGGGACCTGCTCAGTGAGGAGATATGGGAATGGCCACCCACATTATAGTATGGCCACTTTTCCACAGGGCTGCTGCAGTATGCTTGAGGTCCCTAGTCACCTCAGATTTTTCAGAACCTGGAGGTGTCACCAGTGAAGGCTGTGAGAGAGCAAAAATGGCAGCCTGTCCTCCTTTCTGGCAGTATTGTCCCAGGGAGGTATGGACCTGTTGCTGGCCCAAAGGCACCTGTAGGAAGTGGCTGGAGACCCCAGTTGGGAGTTCCCACCTGGTGAGGAGGAACAGGATCAGGACCCACTTGAAAAAGCAGTCTGGCCACGTGTTGGTAGAGCAGCTGTGCTCTGCTGGGGGTCCACTTCAGCCCCTGGTCGCCTCACACACTCTGAAGCCCAAAGGCTGGAATGGCTAAGTGACCCAAACGGCAAAGGTAGTGGTCCACCCCTTCCCTTCGGAGCTCTTTCTTAGGGAGGTGCAATACCGCAACTAGTAGCTGGCTAGAATTTCAAGCCAGTGGGTCTTGTCTTGTGAGATGCTGTGGAAGTGGAGTGTGTGAGCCATTGCTTCTCAGGCCCCTGGATTCAGTCCCTTTCCTAGGGGTATGTACAGGAATATAACCTCCCACTTTGCCGGAGTTGCAGCTACTTTTGCTGGAAAGCCTGAGTATCTAAGGCTCCAGGGTCTCCACACATGCCTGAGTGGCTGCTCTGCTGAGACTCTACACAGCTCTGTCAGACTGAAGACTGAAGGCCCTGGTGGAGTGGTCCGCAAAGAGATTTCCTGACCCAGGGGTTGCAAAGATACATGGGAGAAGCGTGGTTTCCAGGGTTGCTCATTCACTCACCACTTCCCTGGTTGGGGGAAGATCTCCTGTTGCTCCCAGGTGGGCAGTTGTCCTGTCTTGGTTTTTTTCATCCTTTATGGGTCAAGTTGTTTCCTTCATTAGTCCCAATCCAAGTACCTGGATGTTTCATCTGAAGGTGTTGTACTTACTCACCCCTTCTGTTCCTCTCCGTGAGAGCCACGCACATTAGCTGCTTCTAGCTGGCCATCTTGGCCACTCCCCTCTATTACTTTGTATCCTCTGACCCACATCTCTTCCTTTCCTTGCCCCCTCCATCCCACACCCCTGGTCACCACTGCTTTGTTTCTCTGTATGTATGAATTTCTTTATTTTTTATATTCCACATATCAGATTTCATTATATCATGCAATATTTTTCTTTCTTTGTCTGGCTTATTTACATTAACATAATGCCCTCCAAACTCATCCATGTTGTGGAAAATAGCAAGATCACATTCTCTTTTAGAGCTGAATATTCCATTATATACCAGTTTCTTTATCCAGTCATTCATCAGTGTAGTCCCATAGCTCTTTAAAATCATAGATACCATATCCAAGAAAAACTTTATAGCCCTAATATACAGCCAGGCATTCCCATAGAAGCACAGTACATAGAAATCCATATAAGTATTTATCTAATACTGGGTCTGATAGAGCCTTGGTAACTATGTTTTATGGACAAGGAAAGTGATAGCCAGAGGTATAAATTAATTTTCCAAAGGTAACATATTTTGTACAAAGCCAAAAGGCATTCTCAGTCTCCTAGGTGTGTACTTTTTTTCATTCATCCCAACTGCCTTGATGACAATGACCATGAGAGGGGGAAATCCCCATTCTTGGGTCTTTTTGTCCAGTGAAGTCCAGAGATAAAATGATACATTTACTATCATCATTGCCATTTTGTCATTTTTTTCTACAAGTCTGTTTTTAAATAAAAGTAAAACTTTGTAAATAAAATTGAAGTTTTCTTAACCTCTAACCTCTAATCCCACTCACCATTCTTCTCCCCAGAGGAAATCCCTATCATGAATTTAGTGAGATTTGACTATACAAACACTCATGAGCAGTGACACATGTCTTGGCCAACTAATCAGGGGTCTGGAAGGAAAAACACTAGAAGGTGAGAGTCAGGGAAGCCTAGGGTAGATGGGACAAACAGGAGTAGGCACAAAGACTGAAGGCCTTTGTATCACATGGTAGTATCCATCAGAGAACATCCATCAGGAGAGAAGCTGAACAGTCAAGTAGACGGAATTACAACAAGCTGATGGCAGTCATCCTCTGTCATCAGATACCCCAAAGCTGGCACCCTAGATGCACTAATAAAGTGGCAGCCATGGTAGCTAGTATAGTCTATGCAAGAGCTCAACATGCTCCCACTTACCAAGGCTGATTTAACTATTGACACTGCCCAATGTCCAATCGGCAAACAGTAGTATCTCTTGAGACCAGCCTGTCACTTAATGTCAAGTTTACTACTTTGGAAACTTTACCCCTTGAAAGTGGCAATAATTCATTTTGACATGAGTAAATACTCTAGGAATGAATTTCCCTTTCCTGCCTTCAGTGACAACCAGCACCACTATTTGAGGGCTTACAGAGTATGATCAGTAGCTCAGAATATCATACAATATCGCATCAAAGCAAGAGACTCACTTTATACTAGAGATAGTACAGGAAGGACCCATGATTATTGACTGGTTCTATTATTCCCAAAAGAGTGATGAAATCACCTTGTAAAGGGACAACAGAAGTGTTAGCTCAGCATCTGAGAACCAAGGAGCCCCCTTTAGCATCATTTCCAGTGATGTACCTAGTAGGGTGGACATAAATTTAACAAATAAAAATGTAGGAAACTCAGTTAAATTTGAATTTCAGGTAAACAAATTTTTAAATATGTCCCATGCAATATTTGGAACATATTTATACTTTTAAAAGATGGTTATTTATCTGAAATTAAAATTTAATTGGGTATCCTGTATTTTATCTGGCAACCTTACCACTTGGGGAATTTGTACTTCTTGTGCCACAATTCTTGGCTCTGTGGGTTCCCAAATGGGGGATATTTTCATCAGGGTTCACAAGAAGAGTTCCATTTAACTATAAACTATGACCACCACTATGGTAATTCTATTTCTTGTGCCAAGGCACCAGCAAGCAAGAAGAGGAGTTACCATCTTGTCAGGAGTGATTGACCCTGATCACCTAGAAGAGGTAGGACTGCTGGTACAAAATGTGGGAGTATGGAGGAATATGTGGGGCATGTAGGAGATCCACTTTGGTGCCTCCTTGGGAATTCTTTGCCCAATTTTGATGATAACTGGGCAAGACAGCTACCTCAGCTTGAGAAGGGCAGTGACCAGGGGCTCAGACCCCTCAGGGAATGAGTCATGGTGATGGAGTTAGTCACCTAATCAGGAGAGGTGCTAGTAGAAGGCTAGAGGAATCTAGAATGAATAGCGGAGAGGAAGAAGATTGACTCAGTTGTGACTCTGAGGCCAGCTGCAGTGGTGAGAGACAGTTTTTCCCACTAATCTGGATTTCCCCTAGGAAGAGAGGTCCACTGGAATCCTGGAAGGTCTGCTTCCAGAACCCCTGTGAAGGAAGTGAATTTCAGTAGCACAAGGGATGGGCTTTGTAAATGTCAGGATTTGCCATCCAGGTCCTTCTTCAGGATTGTAGGACTTACTCTCAAGCTGCTGGTATGCTGCTGGAAGAAGGCACTCACCTTTCAGCCCTGTTTAGGAACTGTTTCAGCTGAATAAAACTGCTTTTCCCAAGGTCATGCCTTCTTACAGGAACAGCCAACATCCAATGACTGATCAATCCAGTGCTGAAAAGCTCAATCTCATTGCCTCAAATTGAGAGAACTCTTAAGAGCCATCTCAGCTCCAGCACTCCCTGCAGAGTCTCCTGAGGCCATCACTGGGTCTACATTGCAGCTCCACTTCTCCTTCTGTCCAATCCTGTTTCTTTCTCCTCCCTTCCACAGATGTTGATCTCCATAGTGCTATCTAATAAGTGTTTTATACATACATTTCCATCTCAGGGTCTGCCTCCCAAGTAAATGAAACTGTGAAAAGCAGCAACAGAGGACAGAGGACAAAGAAATAGTAAGTGTTAAGAGAAAATAACTAAAAACTACAATTTAGCACTCATCTAAATGACCATTCATAAGGAAAAATATCAAGAATACATGTTAAAATTTAAGGAAAATTATTAATAAAAAAAGGCATATTGTCTTCTAAAATTAGAAAGAGAGAAAACAACATTTAAAAACTCATTCATTCTCATAGAATTCAGGAATGAGCCTAGAGAAAAAGCATTTTAATGGGAATAACAAAATAAAATGGTAGACATAAATCCAAATGTGTGAATTATCACAATAAAACTATAAATGAACTCAACATTTTAGTTAAAATATTTTCAGATTTCATATGCTGTTTACCAGAGACACATTTAAAACCTAAGGGCACAGAAAGGATGAAATTGAAAAGAAAAAGTGAACTGGACAAATACTAGCCAAAAGAATGCTGGTGTATCCCTATTGATTAAAGATTAATATTTGTTTTAAAAATGATAACAATTATTTGGAGAATAGAAGGTTACTATATAATTATTTAAAACAAAAACAATTTACCAAATACATACAACCGCTATGAACCATTAAGCAACTATTAACATATTAACAGTTTCAAAATACAGCTAAAAATAACAGCATTACAAAGTTGACAAGTTCACAATGAAAATGAGATAATTTAATCTGGTTCTTTTTCAAATTACTATTTACGTTAACTAGAGCTAACAGGCAAAAAAAAATTAGTAAGACATAAACATTTCAGCATAATTAATAAACGGCATGGCAGATATACAATGAAAACTGCTTCCAACCAGTAAAGAAGGTGCAATTAAAGGATATAGGTCAGCACCCATGGCAAATTACAAACATGGACCACCTGCCAGGTCAAAAAGCTAGTCTCAATAAATATTTTAAGGCATTAAATATTAAATAATTTTCTAACTACAATGTAATAAAATTAGAGAACCTTTTTTAAAAAAGATTAGATATCATACATATACACCTACTAAGACATAATGTATATTTATTTATTTAGGCCTTCTTTAATGTTCAACTATTTTTTATAATTTTCTCCATATAGGTTTTATCCATATTTTGTTAGGTTTTTTCTTATACGCTTTATATGTTTGACGCAGCTTTCTTTATGAATTGATTTTTTAAATTATGAATTCCATTTCTTTAATCAATATAGGGCAGTTCAGATTTTCTATTTCTTGTATCAATTTTGATAAGTTGCTTATTTCCAGGAACTTGTGCTGGATAATTTCACCTGTTATTGCTTGAATTAATAATTAAAAGTTTGTAGGATCTGTAGTGTTATAACCTCTTCTATTTTTGGTATTGGTAACTTGTGTTATCTCTCTTTTTTTCTTGATTGGTCTTATTAGGAGTATATCCATTTTATTAATCTGTTCAGTGAAGCAACATTTGGCTTTGTTAATCTTCACTGTTGTTTCCTGTTTTCTGTTGCATCGATTTCTGCTTTTTATTATTTTCTTCCTTCTACCTCCTTTTTATTTAATTTACTCTTCTTTTTCTAAATTCTTAAGCTTGAAAAATCAATTTTAAACCATTATTTTTAAATAAGACAGATAAAAAGGCTATAAATTTCCTTAATCTAAGCATGACTTTGAATGAATCCCTCACATTTTTGTATCTTGTATTTTCATTATAGCTTTGAGATATTTTCTAACTTACTTTGTAATTTCTTCTTTGACCATTTGATTATTTTGAAGTATATTGTTTACTTTCCAAATATTTGGGACTTTCTGGATATCTTACTGTTACTGATATCTAGTTTAATTTCTTTATGGTTAAAGAACATACTTTTAAAGATTTTAGTTTTTAAACCATTATTGAGACTTATTTGCAGTCTATCCTGCTGAATGTTGCACGTGCATTTGAAAGAACGTGCATTCTGCTGTCTTTGTAGTGTTCTCTAAATACGTATTAGATCAAGGTAGTTGATAGGGTCCTTCAGATCTTTTATAGTCTTACTGATTTTTGTGTCTGGTTATTTCATAAATTACTGAATGATGTTAAAATTTCCAGTTATGATTGTGGATTTGTCTGTTTCTCTCTTTAGAGCTCAGATTTTACTTAATACATTTTGAAGCTCTTTTGTTTTGTTTTGTTTTTTCTCTTGATTTTTTGAAGCTTTTATTAGGCACATATACATTGATGGTTATTGTATCTTGTGATTAATCTTTTTATTACAATAAAATATCTTTTTACCTCTGATAGCACCTTTTGAAGTCCATTTTTTTTTTTTTTTTTTTTTTTTGAGACAGAGTCTCACTCTGTCACCCAGGCTGGAGTGCAGTGGCACAATCTCGGCTCACTGCAAGAGAGGCTTGAATCATGATAATTATATGAATGCACTAATTATCATGAGTGCCCCCCAAAATATGTATATGTATTATATATCAATTTAAAAACTAAAATTAAAAAAATAAAGAAGAAAAAATGGGCCAGGCACGGTGACTCATGCTGTAATCCCAGCACTTTGGGAGGCCGAGGTGGGCAGATTGCTTGAGGTTAGGAGTTCGAGACAAGCCTGGCCAATATGGCAAAACCCCCATCTCTACTAAAAAAGATACAACAATTAGCCGGGAGTGGTGGCACATGCCTGTAATCCCAGCTACTCAAGAGGTTGAGGAAGAAGAATTACTTGAACCTGGGAGACAGATTCAGGCTATTTTGAAATATACAACAAGTTACTGTAAACTATAGTCATCCTACTGATCTATCAAATAATGTCTTATTTCTTCTATTAAACTTTGTATTTGTACCCATTAGTCAACCTCTCTTAATCCTCCCTGCCACTCTTGCATCTCTAGTAACCATTAGTCTGTCTTCAGGAAACCCACTTTTTTAGTTCCCACATAAGTGAGAATATGCAATATTTGTCTTTCTGTGCTTGGCTTATTTCACTTAATGTAATAACCTCCAGTTCCATTCATGTTGCTGCAAATTACAGGATTTCATTCTTATGACTGAAAAGTATTCCATTGGGTATAAATACCACATTTTCTTTTTTTAAATTTTACTTTAAGTTCCGGGATACATGTGCAGAACATGCAGGTTTGTTACATAGGTATCCACGTGTACCATGGCGATTTGCTGCACCTAGTAACCTGTCATCTATGTTCCCTCCCCTTAGCCCCCACCCCTCAACAGGCCCTGGTGTGTGTTGTTCTCCTCCCTGTGTCCATGTGTTCTCATTGTTCGACTCCCACTTACAAGTGAGAACATGCGGCGTTTGGTTTTCTCTTCTTGTGTTAGTTTGCTGAGGATGATGGCTTCCAGCTTCATCCATGTCCCTGCAAAGGACATGATCACATTCCTTTTTATGGCTGCATACTATTCTGTGGTATATATGTACCACATTTAATTTATCCAGTCTATCATTGATGGGCATTTTGGTTGGTTTCATGTCTTTGCTATTGTAAATAGTGCTGCAATAAACATACATGTGCATGTGTCTTTATAGTAGAATGACATATATTCCTTTGGGTGTATACTCAGTAATGGGACTGCTAGGTCAAATCATGTTTCTGGTTCTAGATCTTTGAGGAATGGCTGCACTGTGTTCCACAATGGTGGAACTAATTTACATTCTCACCAACAGTGTAAAAGTGTTCCTATTTCTTCACAGCCTCACTAGCATCTATTGTTTCTTGACTTTTTAATAATTGCCATTCTGACTGGCATGAGATGGTATCTATCTCATTGTGGTTTTGATTTGCATTTCTCTAATGATCAGTGATGTTCAACTTTTTTTCATGTTTTTTGACCACATAAATATCTTCTTTCGTTCATATTCTTTGCCCATTTTTTGATGGGGTGTTTTTTCTTGTAAACTTAAGTTCCTTGTAGATTCTGGGTACTAGACCTTTGTCAGATGTATACTATATTTTCTTTATCTATTCATCCACTAATGGGCACTTAGCTTGATTCCATATTTTGGCTATTGTGATTAGTGCTATAATAAACATGGGAGTGCAAATAGCTCTTTGATATATTGATTTATTCGGGATATATGCCCAGTAGTAGATGCTGGATCATATAGTAGTTCTGTTTTTGGTTTTTTGAGAAACCTCCATGCAGCTTGCCATAGTGGCTGTACTAATTTACATTACCACCAACAGTGTATGAGGGTTGGCCTTTATCCACATCTTCTCTGGCATCTGCTATTGGCTGTCTTTTTTATAAAAGCCATTTTAACGGAGGTGAGATGATGTCTCATTGTGGTTTTGATTTGCATTTCTCTGATTAGTGATATTGAGCATTTTTTCACATACTGATTGACCATTTGTATGTCTTCTTTTTTTGCTTGTTTATTCAGGTCATTTGTCCATTTTTAAATTTGATGATTTGTTCATCTGCTGTTGAGTTGTTTGAACTCCTTATATATTCTGGTTATTAATCCTTTGTCAAATGAATAGTTTGCAGATATTCTATTCTTGAGCTGTCTCTTCACTTCATTGTTTCCTTTGCTGTGCAGAAGGTTTTTAGCTTTATAGAATTTTATTTGTCTAGTTATGCTTTAGTTGCCTGTGCTTTTGAGGTCTTGCACAAAAAATCTTTGCCTACACCAATGTCTTGGGGTGTTTCCTTAATGTTTTCTTCTAGTAGTGTCATAGTTTTAGGTCTTGGATTTTAGTCTTTATTTTGATTGGATTTTTGTATATGGTGAGAGACTAATATCTAATTTCATTACTCTACATATAGTTATCCGGTTTTCCCAGCACAATTTACTAAAAAGATGTCCTTTCTCCATTGTGTGTTCTTGATACCTCTGTTGAAATGAGTTGACTGTAAATGCATGACTTTGTATCTGGGTTGTCTATTCTGTTCCATTGGTCTGTTTGTTTTTACGCCAACACCAAGCTGATTTGGTTACTATAGTTTTGTATGATTTTTAAAATCAGGTAATATAATGCCTCCCACTTTGTCCTTTTGTCTCAGGGTTGCTTTGGCTAGTTGGGATCTTTTGTGGTTCCGTATAAATGTTACGTTTGTTTTTTTTAT